GCTCCCCAGCCTTGATCCCTGGGTATCTGCCATCCACCATTCCGCTGCCACCCTCAGCCCCTGTTCAGGGTCCCCCATCTGCCCCCTGCTCCCCACGCCCCGGGGACTGGGCGAGACTCACCGGACTGGAAGGAAATCTCACTGATCATCAGCCAGGTGTCGGCAAAGTGGAAACGACAAAGGACGGCCTTGCCCACCCGCTGGTTCAGGGGGATGGTCACGAACCTGGCGCTGGGGTTTTTGTCATCCAAGATGGTGGAGACGCCCACCGGGTCGGGCTCCCACTCGGCAATCAGCCTTGTGGAAGATCTTCACCCCCTTGGGAAACATGTTGTTGCAATGCACCTGGCCGGAGGGAAAAGCATCAGCAGCCTGAACTCGCCTCCAGCTCCCAGCAGCTTCGCTGACACCAGGACCAGGCCTTCGACGGGCAGCAACCGCGGGCGTGTGAGCCCGACGCCGGCCTGGGCCAGAGGCGGCTCGGGAACCCAGCCCATGCAGAGCCAGGGTATTGCAGAATAACGAACGCCCTCCCCGGCGGCACAGAGACAGCCCTGGTGCCGCAGTCCGGTATTCGTCACGAGAGGACAACTGAGGCTGAGGAGGGAGCGCGGAGACGCAAGACTCGTAGGCCTGGAAGGCGCGTGATTTAGTCCTGTCTGCAAGCGTCTATTCAATGGACTAAAAACGAGCTAATGGGCAGATTCAAATTCAGAAACGGGGGCTCGTTCTGCAGCGGGAGGCGAGAAGGCTCTGCTCTCGGCCCCGCGCTCTTCACGTCTCTATCGATGAGCGGGAGAGAAACGTACACTCAGCAGGGTGGCAGGACAGGTAGCGGGAGAGCCGGCCAGTTCCACACAGCAGTCTGAACTGTGAGGCTCACTTCAAACGCCGTGTTTAATACAGCGGCACCTCCATGCCAGGAACAGCAGAGTTACGGGCTGAATGGTGGAGACACGTAGGCAGCCAGGCAGCAGCGGAGACCCCAAATACTGACACACGCCCCTGTACTAGCTAGGAGGCACCCTAGACTGCCTGTCCCCATCCCCCTGCGTGGGGCAGCCCTCGAAGCCAGGGGCGAAGGGAGATGCTGAGGTTCTCAGGCACAGTAGTGAGCCCACCTGTCAGCCCAAGGCAGCCCGAGCAGGGGCAACGCTGGGGTCTGAGCCCCTTTCCTGTAGCCCGCAGGCGCTGTTTGACACACACGTCCCTCGGCCGGGGGCAAGAGTTTGCACACTCGGCCATCCCCCTGCGTGGGGCAGCCCTCGAAGCCAGGGGCGAAGGGAGATGCTGAGGTTCTCAGGCACAGTAGTGAGCCCACCTGTCAGCCCAAGGCAGCCCGAGCAGGGGCAACGCTGGGGTCTGAGCCCCTTTCCTGTAGCCCGCAGGCGCTGTTTGACACACACGTCCCTCGGCCGGGGGCAAGAGTTTGCACACTCGGCCGGAGCCTGAGGGGGGGCAGAGGCTGCCTGTCCTCCCCCCCACATGCAGGGCAGCCGCTTCCCGGGAGGAGGGGAAGACGCTGCTCAGAGGCAAGACTGTTCCATAGACACAAACAACGGGAAACCTTGAATTTGCATGTTTAAAATATTCTCCAACGTTCCCGTCCCAACCTGTGTCCACCCACATTTCTGTCAGCAAAGCCATTCGCTGCCAGACACCACAGGCCACACGCAGAACCCGACTCACTGCAACAAACCAGGAACAGAACCTGAGAGGGGGTCTCAGTCCGGAGCCGGACGCTGAGGAGAATCGGGACTCCTGTGCCCCACGAGACCCACAGCCACGGAGGCCACTTCATGGAGGTGAAGTTCCTCTGCCGGTCAAACTGAAACTCCATTTCCACGAAACCTGCGCTGAAGCTCTCGTTCTTCCAGCCGATATAGTCGTACCCTGGCCACACCCGGTACTGGTGGCTCTGGGTGAAATCGTCCAGGCCCAGCACCCCGTCGGTGAGCTGGCCCAGGCCTCCGTACAGGTGCCTGGCGAGAGACGGAGAAGGGTTAGACAGAGGGAAGAGACTCACAGACTGGGCCTCCGCTCCTCTCCTGGCTCAGCCTGGGACTGTGGCCACTGCGCTGCGGGGGGGTTGTAAGGAGCTGCCCACCCAGGAGCAGCACTGAGACCGTGTCTCAGGAAGGTATAATCTCTCCCGCTGCTGATCCTCGTGCAAGTGGAGTGCACAAGCTGGTGCACAAGCTGGGCTGGCCCGCAGCCTCTGCCCCACAGGCTGGCGTGGACCCCACCTGCCTTCCTCCCCTGCAGACTGGGCAAGGACAGCGATGAAGAGACTTCTATGCAGATGTGAGTAAAGGCCGAGGGGCCTCGTGCCTGACTGTTCACCTGAGCAAGGGGCCTCGAAAACCAGCCGCAGACAGTGGCACCCCCAGCTCTGGCTCTCTGGAGAGATGGGGCCTTGGAGCTGGGCACCTGAGTTAACCTCTTAGGAGAATCCCTATGGAATGAGGGTGACACACATCAGCCATTTGCTCCTGCAGACTCTTCCGGAGTTCCAGTGTCCGACAGCACGGGCCTGGCTGGGACTCCTGGACCTCGCCTGGGCATGGAAGGGGACCGGCAGCCTCCATGGCAGAGCTGGGTGAATGTTTTCAGACAAACTGCTTACAGGCAAAAAATGCA